ATGATGGTAGTGGTGGTGGCGCTGCTGCTTTTGCTGGCCATGTAAAGTGTCCAAGGCATTGGCAACTCCTCCCTAGAGCTGCTCTCAACGTGTGGGCCTATATCGAACTGTGATGCCGTGGACTGCCGGCAAGCGGAGTGACGAACGCCTTCAGCTTTTTCTGAAAGTCGACCCCCGACCCACCCCCTCCACCACCCCGCAACCGCCACTGTGGGGGGAGCGTAGCTGCCTCCTGCCTGCGTGGCTATTTCCACTCTATCTCTCACACTCTGCGGCCTAAGTCTTGCCTCAACATTTGCCGGTTGCAGTGCAGAACCTGGCTAATGAAGCTCTCCTAGAGGCATCTTGGTCCTACTCGGACTTAGACCTTCACAGAGTCTTCTCGAAGACTGCGTTTTGTGCGCCGAGCTAGTACGAGATCCTATCCAAATCCTGCGGAATAGCCCGGCATAATGTGGAAATGGTCTATCCCAGCACGGACCATGGGGGTAGGGAAAGGAGGCAGCACAGCAGACACGGAACACCCAAACCAAAAAGAGCTCCCCGAATCATGCGCGACTCCAGTTGAGACCCGCACCTCCGCTGGCTTTACCTCGATGCTTCAGGGTGCTCCCGCGTATAGCGCTTGGGTCTCTAGGGCGATAGGATTCGGGGGCCTAGGACTTCTTTTTAGGGGGTTTAGGGTGTTTTTGGTTTAGGGTCCAAGTCTAAGGATGTCTGAAAAAGGCACTCCACCCATCACCCAACAACCGCCGACTGACAACCATTACGCCAAGCTTGATCCTAGCCATGGTAGAGGCTTTGGAACTGCCGGGACCTCTTGGGTACTGCCCCCTTACAGTAAGAGTCTATAATACGGCTACTATAAGGTCGTCATATATCTATATTATGAATATTATTCAACTATTGCTGAGTGGGGGCCGTACCCAATGGATCTCCACCATTCGAAGACATCGTTGTTGTGAGATCACCAAAGCTGAAACCTAAACCCTGCAGGCACCGAAAGTCCCATGAATCTTGCAGCAAAACGTCATGCGAGCACTTCTCCCTAGCCTCGTGCAAGTGACAATTCAACTCCTCCATACTGCATCGATACCGGACATTTCAGAAACCTGGATGATTTTGATCAGGTACTGCTAACCCTAAACCTTTTAGATGCATTCTTCCCCCTGTCTGTGTCGCACTGCTTCTGCCCGTAGGACAATGAGGTCCGCGCAGGCATCTGCGGATCGGAGGTGCTGAAGTGCCTGATTTTTAGGGTTTTAAGGTTTAGGGGCTGGGGTTTAGGGTTTAGGGTTTAGGGGCTGGGTGGGTTTAGGGTGGAGAATGCCGTGCGTTATTGGATCACGGCTCATGATATGCTCATGATCCACATCGAGGAGTCAGTATGTTTGAGGTTCAGGCCAACAGTCGTGGCACATCCATGACTCGTTTTGAGCTGGTGCTAGATTAAGGTCTTCTGATCTGCAACCCCACCGCCGCCCCGGGATAAAGCCGGTTGCGGTGCATCAGTATAGATATGCTGCGCTCTTGGATGCGGCTGGAAGGAGATAGAGTAGACGATAGGCAGAAAGCGCCAGAGCATGCTGCATGATTCGACAATGCCGTCTGAGGCCACACTTCGAGATGCAATCGTTCGGGCCTGAGGTTTCCATCACAAAATGTGTGTTGGAGTGTGTCCTTCAAGGCGGCGCTGTTGTGAAATATTTTCCGAAAGGCTTCTTAACCCATGGAAGCACGGATTGTTCTTGTGGCAACTCGGGTTTTGCTTGTGACAACGACAACTCGACAGATCCTGCAACACACAGCACCGTTAAGCACAGCAGCTACACGAAGTCCTCAAATCAATCGAAGCACGTGAATCGTTACCGTTTCCGAGAAGCTGTACACTGCAAAGTTTTTTTTACATCGATGTAAAAAACACACATTACAAAATGCAGCATAGCGTTTCCGAGAAGCACACAGCAGAAAGCTTCCCGGCTTCCCATTCGCCTCGCAAGCGATGCCCCGAGATCTGCGCGCATCTGCTCTCCTGCAGGGGGTTCAGGGGTTGAGGGGGCGGAAGCCCAGAGAATGGGCTTGCCAGGGTAAATACTTCAAGAAATGCGCTGCAGCTGCAGGGGGAAATGACCTCATCGTCATGCCAGCGGCACCATTTTGATGAAAAACGGCACCAACATCAAAATCACCACCATCAGAATCATCCTCCTCGCGCCTCTCCGCCTCCTCTTCCTCCTTCCGTATGCATCCTCATCATCGTCATCATCGCAATGGTCCACCTGGGCTACAGAAACAAGTATCAAGCAGCCACGAGCCAAATGTTCCTGATCAGTGTGCCAGCAGTCGAGGAAGGCAGCAGGGGGGCGGGGGCCAAAAAGAACTTGCATAAGCGAGCCTAACAGGTACGAGCTGGGCAGCAACAACAACACCAACACCAGCACCAAAAACAACATCAAGATCACCGACTGTGCATCAACACAAAACGATTTTGCCCGATGATCTGCAGCTTGGTCTTGTATAGCAATCCCTAATCTTCTGAACAGGAAGCCCAGATGTCTTGAAACAGGTTGGGATCTCCAACTATCCTGCCGCACTACTGCGGTAATATGGGGGCCTTACTAATTAGAATAGGGTTTCGGAGTACATTATACTATAACTATAAATACAACAAGGAACTCCCAAACTAGTGTCAGTCTTTATGAAGGCCCCTAGACTATGCTCGCGAACATCACCCTGGCTGTACTCGACTCCACTGTTGATGCCCGGTCAAACATCTGTCAATAAGATGGCACGGCAAGAGATCCACCTGGGAGTTTCCGAAGATTAGAGGGTACCCTATTTTGGGGGTCCTGATAATCAGGATACTGCTATTTAGGGCGCTGTATTAGGGGTCCCCTATTTTTGGAAACTCCCACCTTGTGCTATGCTCATACTCCATTCAACCCTGAAGCCCTGCAAATAGCCCTGAATTACGGCTGTATGCATGGCCCAAACCAACGGGTCCTAGCTGCGCATCCTGCACGGGCAGCATCCGAGACCGGAAGGGTGCATGCAAGCGCTCTGATACATATATATATATATATAATAATAATAATACTAATATATATAACTATATATCCATACCCATACAAATAAGCAAATAAATGTATTTTTATACACACATAAATGTATGATTATGTACACGTGTGTGTGTGCGCGCTTCTGCTTATCAAACATCGGCACATCGGCAAGTGCAGGATGTGGGCCATTGGCTAAGCTGAGGGTCAGGGTCTGTGAGTCAGAGCCCCGAGCATTGGATGCCGGTGAGAGGATGACAGCGCAGAGCAGTGAGGTGTTCGGTGCCAAGATATGGCAGGGTACCGAATAACCCGTGCGTTAAGCGAGCTAGTGCTTTCCTCTTCATCCCTAGTGCATTTCTTGGCCGGGAGCATTTCGCTAGTGGATGTCAAGCCGACAGCTGAGTCAAGTCTTTGTATATTTGCCATGGAGATCGTCCTCTGTGTAGGCTTCATCCAAAGTACGAGGTGTTCAATGGCAAGGACGGAAAATGCAGCCACTGAACAATCCCATGGCGATCCTCAATCTCTTCACTAAGAAGGCCCTGGCTCCAACAGAGCGCTGAGAAACCCTGACCCCCCTGGGGTTCTTCAGTGAGCCCTGCGTGTCCAAGACAGCTTCGGTCCTCCAGATCCGTACCTGTGCAGGCCGGAAGTCAGCAAAACGAACCTTCAAAGCCTATGTAAACATTTGGGGCAATCACAAGAACTATATGGAGAAAGCGCGACCTGCGGCATCACCACCACCATCAGCACCAAACCTGTCCACCATGAGGATCATCATCAGTAGCTGCACCTTTTATTCTCAACCCTGTTATCACCGCACATCTACACCGCCACTTTGGCAAGCAACATCACCAACAAAATTGTCGTATGTATCCCTCCTCGCCATCGACGACATCATCTTCATGGTTTCAATTTCATAAACCGACCATTCCCCATCACCAACACTACCAACACCACCGTCACCACCAGCACCAGCACCAGCTCCAGCCCCATGGCCACGACGACCTACACAATGGAATAATAACACCAACAACAATGGTGCACATGTCGCTGTAAGCAACGCGGCTCTCCATGACTTCTAACAGTAGAAATCCTCAACGAGAGCAGTACAGGGTCAACAACAATTTGAGGAATTTTGCTGGCAACAATATCGCTACAATGATCCTATTGGCTTGCGTTGGTAGTTCCCCTGCACATAGCTATCTACTTTTGCTTCCCTTCAAGATTGCGGTGACAACGGCCTTGGCTGTTGTTGGTGCAGAAGCTGGTGCGTATAATGCTAGCAATTTTACAACGGCACCTATGGCTGTGGCTCAAATGCACAATTACAGCACTTGCTGATGTTGTTGCCACTGAGTACCGTAATGCTTGTCACCAAACCCTATCAATGCCGTCTTTCGAGGCTTAGAGCTATCCTTAAGCAAGGTTTAGCTTCGTGCGGTGTGGGCTAGACTGCACGCTGTGGCGCATACTGGTGCAGGACTCATCGCGTAATGTCCTGTGGCATGTCCTATGGCAGTCGAAAGTGTGGCAATCGGAGAAGGAGAGGCTTATAGTAAAAGCCAGAAAGTTGGAATATCATTATCGTAACCCCTTTAAGGTAAATTATAGGGGATCCTACCATTAATCCATATTCCAACTTTCTGGAGTTCCCTTTACGTGCATGCTCGATCAACGAGTTTAGCACCGTCTGCTCAATGCAAGCGCTCCTTTTAGGCGTCCGGCTCTGGCCACGGATGGCGCTGAATCAGTCTGCTTGGAGCAGCTGTACAACTTGACAGAGGAGATTAGGCGCAATCCTTCGATTGCACCAGCAGCGCCAAGAGCTGTACAGTTTCAGACACATGTTCACACTCGAACAACGCTGTACAAGATAGGAATCTGGGATCTGGAAAAAAACTATACAGCTCAAAATTGACCTGGTCGTTCTGAGCAAGTTTACACTTGGGCTACGCCATATTCAATCCGACGTCTCCACTTGGCCTGCGCCCTGTGTGCGTAAACGATGGCTAGGAGCTGCCCCATGGGTTCGCCACTCTCTGTACCCCAACCTCCCGGAGGAGTCCCAGCCAGTGGGACGAGGGCGCACAACGAGATGAGGCCACCGATCGGATAGTAAATCCACAAGGGATCGAAGAGTCCAGAGTTGATCAAGACACTGTTGCAGCCGACAACGAGGCCGTTGGCAAGCAGGCTGGCGACCTCTACGGCAACCCCCACGGCGCTCAGCGATTCGCCTACACGGCCAGGGGGTGCGAGCCCGGAGGCCAGCCGCATTAGCGGCACATGGATCATTCCGGCACAGTTCAGGCACACCGTAACCACGGCAATAAACCACATGTGTCTCACGACAGCCATCAGCGCCCCAGCGCTCATCAGCACACAGCACATCGGGATCATCCATCGGATCAAAGACAACGGTCCGCAGGACTTCGCCAAATGCCCGGTGATTACGCTCAAAGGTATTGACAGAAGCTGCCCAGGGATTTGCTCGAGCACAGAGACCATCACGATATCCAGATCAGTGCCATGCTGGATCAAATCCAGCGATTGGTTGAAGAACTGGCCACCAATATCGAAGGTCATGGAGCCGGACAGGCGGACAAGAAAAGTCGCTATGATGATCCGGCGAAGCCGCGGGCTTCTCGCGGCCAAGAGGATCGGGGATAAGAGCTGCTTCATGAGCATGCAAAGCGGATTGCAACTTCGAGAGTTGCTCTGTCCTGCATCAAACTCCACTTCTTGATCGCGATTCACAGCTTCTCCTGTGGTCAGAATCTGGCTGTCTGCCTCCTGGATCTTCTCTGTCTCCTGCCCTTTTTGACCAAGTCGAAGCGAGGACAGCACAGACAGACACAGAATGCTCATCAACCATTGCAGGGCAAGGAAGAAGACCGGATTATTGGGAAGTGCCTTGAGGGTGAACACCAACAAAACCGGAAGTCCATTCATAAGAAGGCCGATTAAATGCGCGGATGCATAGGCCAAACCAAAAGCCTCGTCTTGATCTTCCACAGCAGTCGCGTCGCTCACCAGCGCGAACATCACATTGCTCGTGTTTCCGAAAGCGCAGATGACCTTAACCACGGTGCTGATCCACAAGCCTCGCGCAGTGAAGCCGAAAACCAACAAGACCCAGCCAGGAGCAAAGCTTGCAACAGCCACCACTCCTGCGGCGAGTCGCCTGTCCAGGCGGTCGCTGATCTTTCCGAAAGGCCCTCCAAGCAGAATGGCCACGCAATTAATGCCGATGGCCATGATGGAAGCATAGGCAGCCATGTTGTAACCCCAATACTTCGTGCGCAAGACGGAAAGCACGAAGGTATCTGGCAAGCTGGCAGTTGCCCGTTGCAGCCCATATGCCAGCAACACCTTGCGAAGCTCCGGATTTCGCTTCAACAGCTGCCAGTTTGAAGCAAAGCAGTCACGAGAATGCTCCATGATCAATGCTCACGGCAGAAGGCAGTTCGTTGCAATTCTAATTACAGGGCCGGAGGCTGCATGCAAAAGCATGGTTCATCAACTTGCACTTGCTCCAACTGCACGATGCAGGTCCGCACGGAAAAAGCATCGCCAAGACATAAACGAACGAAACAGCCTAAGGTTTGAAAACCATAACCCATATGCAGCTTGTAAAGCAAATGTGCCCACACGCGCCTGTGTCTTTTTCTTCGGCGACTATCTCCTCCAAGCTAGGCTTCGGCTGCTTCTCCTCCGCCTCCTGGACAAGGGTTTCTTAGGAATTGGAAGATTTCAGGGTTCTGTGCTAAACCATGCACAAAATAAATCTATGGTCGAGGGGGCTTGCGGGTTTTAGGACCTCTCTATCTTGTTACTCTTGTTGGGGTAGTCTTATGTAATCTAGTGCTAGTGCTCAGCAGTGTCACTGCTTCGTATTCTGCTTGACGTTGTGATTCTGGAACAATATTGATGCAAGTAGCGGCTATCTCCTCCAAGCTAGGCTTCGGCTGCTTCTCCTCCGCCTCCTGGACAAGGGTTTCTTAGGAATTGGGAGATTTCAGGGTTCTGTGCTAAACCATGCACAAAATACATCTATGGTCGAGGGGGCTTGTGGGTTTTAGGACCTCTCTATCTTGTTACTCTTGTTGGAGTAGTCTTATATAATCTAGTGCTAGTGCTCAGCAGTGTCACTGCTTCGTATATTCTGCTTGACGTTGTGATTCTGGAACAATATTGATGCAAGTAGTGAAACTTTGGCCTCCACTTACCGAACCTGCCTTCAGCTTTAGGATGGTCTGCGGCATTCGGGCTTGGCTGAAAAGTACATAGTATATGGTTTAGGGTGTAGGGTCTAGGGTATATAGGATTTAAGGTCTGGAGTCCAGGACGGCAGAGTCTCAGCTTGAAAGAGCAATTAGCTTGAACAAGCCGTACAATGTTGACCTCGTACTTTGCCATCGTCTTCGGCCGAAGCATGTTGAATGAAATCGATCACGAAAACCGTAGAGAGCCCCGATAGAAAAAGCTCCTGCTCCGGGACTTTCCGCTTGCCGTTCTCTTTGTTGAGAATCTGGTCCCCCGCGCTTACACCTTGGCAACTTCGAGTTCCGATGGGATACAGCCTTTTCTAAGCTCCTCTTCGCCTCCTTGGTGTGGTCTCGAAAGTCCGCCGCTATGAGATGTTTGGAAGTATTCCGACAGTGCCATTCATGTGTTGGGGTGCGCATCGTCTTCGCGTCACAGGCTCGTGCGGTTCTGCCTTCCGGTGCTCCTGCCGCAGTCTGCAGCTCGAGTTTCCGCCTCCAGGCCCTCACGCGTTTAGGGAATCCTTGGACCGTCACGAGCCCTCTTCGTTGTTTGGGGTCTATGCTGGAATAAAATCAGAGTGTAACATTTAGGGACACGCCCGATTACTAGGTGTCCAAAATGAAGCTTTCAGGAACCAGTGCGATCCAATGGGCTCAGGGTCCAAATGGTCCGACATGGGCTCCTTTTGTACTGATGCTGGCAGTTGTAGCGAGGATGTTCAGGACTCAGGGCCAAGGCGATTAGCGTAAACATGCGGATGTTAGCAAAGCACTCACGCCAATATCATGATTACTTTTCGCTTCACCCGTGCACTCTCAGCCCCCGGAAACTTGAGACGCCAAAGCCGGAAGCCCAGGAAACTTATTTCAGAAGACAGGGCACTCAGGACGACGACTTCATCGTCGTCATCGTCGTACGCGTTGCCCTGGGGCTCCGGACCTTGGAAAAGGGAGTCTAGTCATCTAGAAGCGGGCTTTGCAAACTTCGTTCCCCTGCATACAAACATCCTAAATCCCAAACCCCCAAGTCTTGAGTCTTGAGCCCTGAGAACCTACTTGCAACTCTCACACCCAAAATCACCCAAATCTAAAAGACAAACTTCCTAAACCGATTGCCCTATCCACTTTGAACCCCCGAACCCTAATTCCGAATGAAAGCCTTAAGCCCAAGTCGCAAAATCACATATCAAGGAAGCTCATAGGCAGTTCTACTCCCAGCTCCCAAATCCTACATCGAAGAAACCCACCTTTACGTCCTTGGTTGCCTCAAGACAGATTCGGAATGAAGATGAACTGTGGTCCATGTCTAGTCGGGTGGTTGTCAAAATTATGGTCCTTTCTGGGTCCCTAATGTGATACGGCACCTACTAGTTTAGGGTACACCAAAAAGGGGCCCTAATTTTGACAACCACCCACCTGAGTCTACCTGGATGTCGGGGATGGCTTGGCTCTGCAACTCTACTTGGAGGTTCATGGGTAGTTATGAGTGGGGTTATAAGTCCCCCAATATGGGTTACCCCTACTTATAGCCCTACTTGTAACTACCCATGAACCTCCAAGTAGGTGGCCCAGATGTATTCGCGAACATTCTCGCTCATCAAGATTGCAACTATCTAAACGTTTATAAGGGTTGAAATAAGTTCTCCAAAACAAGCTCCCTTGTCCGGAGTCTGAAGGTAACCACTATGACCCCCCTGCGAGTGGAACGACACCTCAACCCCATCGGGTTGTTCAACTGTTACTGTTACAATAATCTAAGGGCCTTAATAATTAGAACAGGGTTTCGGGGCCCATTGTACTCTAATTGTAATAAAGAACCCCCAAAATAGTGAAGGACCCTTTTGTTACTCTCTGCCTCATCATGCGAAATCTCAGCTTCGTGCGCTGCGGGTTGGCCGCCGGAGGAGGTTGCGTGCTGGCCACTGTTGCCTCCGAAGCCCGCAAGAAGCTCTGCATGGGAATGAGGGTTCGGGGATTAGCAATTGCGATGTAGGGCTCCCATGTGGTGACTGTGGTATACTGGTCATGCATAGAAGCTGGAAGCTCTCCATGCAGACTGTAAATCAAATCCCAAGTTGCACATGTCCAGCGTCGGCATTCCTGCATACACAAAGCGCTCAGCAAACCGATGCTATAGCCCCTTATACCGCCTATCATCTATCATCCTTAAAGGTCCCCAAACCTCATCCCCTCCCCCCCCCCCCCACCCCCCCACGCCCCCCCCCATCCATCAAGCCTCGGAGGCTTTGGAGGCGGCTTTAGGCTCAGGGAGCTTCCTCTTTGGAGCCCTGGAAACACGCGGAGAAGGACACGTAAGGATGCAGGGCTTTGGGGCTTCCGGGTTTGGGAATTCGGGGGGTTTATGGGGTTCGGAAGGTAGGTATTAGTGCATGGAGGTTCTGGGGCTTACAGGGTTAAGGTTTCGGTCGAGGGGTTTATCTCATCTAACGCTTCGGCTTTTTAGGATGTCGGGCTTTAGGGCTGGATGATCGAGTTTAGGATACACATGGGCTTTGGAGTTGTTTGCGTTTTTGTGTTTGGTGCTGCAGGGCTGGGGATTTAGCCGTTCAAGGCTCGAGATGCTACGTGGCGCGATTGCAGCATCACTGCAAATGGAGTGCAGAGGAGCCATAACTCCGAAAAGGCCGTAAATCATCGTAAACCCTTAACCGTCTGAGTCGTGCTTGTTTTGGACCTGCAAAACAGGAAGCCCAAAGGGAATCCCGTAATGCTCTCTGACGTTTGCTGCGTACAAACGGCGCCTGCATCCGTGAACTAAAGATGAGGCTACTATACTGGCCCACTAGATCACTTGCAAACCCTAAACCGTGGCCCTAAACCCTGAACCCCTAAACCCTAAACCCTAAACCAGAGGTCCGTGTTAGAATGGGAAAATCGAGGGCTGCCTTATCCTTCTCTGCCGCTCCTCCGCTTTCCGCAGCTCTTCCTGGCTTAAAACTTCGGTCCGTAAAGGGTCCAAGTATCATTATGGTATATACTTGCAGGGTATTTTGGGGGTATAAGTATATACCATAATGATATTTGGACCCTGGTACTTATAGGACCATGGGACTTAGTAAGTAGGCTTATAAGTCAGGTAACTATAGTTGTATCTACTTATAACCCCAATTAAGGTACTTATAACCTTACTTATACTGAGTCCCATGATCCTCCAAGTAGTAGCTCGAACAGGACGCAGGGCCACAAGTTGAAACCAAGGATGTGTAAGAAGCTTATATGAGGTCTTGAGGCATGCAAGTTATTGAGAGATTTTCGCCACGCAGATCGGTCTTAGGGCTCTAGCTGCCAGTATGGCATGACGGATTGGGGCTGGTAGGCTCAGGAGTTCAACACAAAAAACTCGATCATTACCTGGTTGTGGTTCTGAATCTGAGCTTGCAGCTGTACCTCCTCTCGGACCGTTGCATCTGGAATGCATTTGAGACATGCTGCCCAGGAAATCGAGCCTTGCCCCCGCATCCCATCAAGTGTGGAGAGCTGACATTCCCCACCGCTTCCTCCCCGTCGACGACAAACGACTGTGGAAGCATGTAATGCAACGGAAATGCAAGAACTAAGCCCTAAAGCCGAAAGCACATCTACTTCTAACCTAAACCGAAGGGGCCTTCTGCAGCTCACTGGATTCCGGCGGCATCACCGGCTGGGCCAGGATTGGCGACTTCTCCCTGTCCTCCTTAGGTCTCTGCTCTAGTGTTTGTTCCGAAAGAATTAGATTACCGTTGCTGTTGCTGGGTGAGCAAGCTAGTGTAGGCGGCTTCTGCGGCAGACAGTTCACTATCGTGTAGGGGTTCAAGTTGTTAACCACTCCCCTTTGTCAGGGTCTAGACTGCCGTGCCGGGGTGAAAATCTGCAAGAAGCAAACGAACTGAATGCTGAACACCCTCGTAATCAAAGCGATAAGCTTGAACTATGAGAATGTATTGCGTCCTGTTTTGGCTCCACTTGCGAAGACAATGGTGCCGGCGCTGGTGCTGGGGTGCTGCTGCTGATTCTGCTGATGATACAACCAGGAAGACAACGACGAGGCTGGTGATGCCAGCGACGACGATGGTGGCAAACGTCATTGTGATATTGTCGGCTTGTGGCGCTTGGGTTGATGATGATGATGATGGTGATGATGATGATGATGAAGGTGACGGCCGTGGTGGCGCT